AACAAATTAGCCCTTTCCGCATTCATGAGTGCGTCTTACAACTCAATGTGAAGTAGGCGAAGTCTGGTCAACGAAAGCTTTATTTATTTTACGCTTTATTCTATTGAAAGTAATATAATTGTCATATTTGTTTTTTTATACATTCGATGTTACAGATGTGCCGGCTATCACCGTGGTACCAGAACCACCAATTCATGGTCAACAGTTTACTTTAACCTGTACAACTGAAATGACCGAAGTTACGTGGTATAAATTCGGACAAATATTGAACTTTAATTACAGTTCTGAAGGCGAGAACAATTGTTCTATCGGAACCAGCGAGGTCTGGAAAGGTCTGAAAGCTACTAAATGTGACCATATATACAATCTGACCATCGTTCAAGTCGATTACTATCGAGATAATAGTTCTGTATTCCAATGTCAAGCTGGAACAGAGTCTTGTCAATATCAATTACATGTCAATGGTAACTATCATAATACTATCGTATTTAAAAGTATCTTTGAGTCTTTGAAGTGCATACTTATAGCTCACGCTTATTGTAACGGGTAACACTTCTTTTCTTCTAGATAGATCGAAGCGGCATTGACCTCAAGAGTACCGTAGCTTTGTTTCTGTTCTTTATTTTAGTTTATCCAACATTTATAACTGATGTACCAATAGATGGGAATAGTTTTGATATTACTTGTTTTAGTACAGTTGCTGTTTCATGGTATAGAAAAGGAATTGATCAAGATTGCTATTTTTATATAGCGTCAAGTTCTCCGACTAATGGTTGTTCTGTTGACAAACAACACAATTATTATGAATTTAATTCATGTGATTCAGTGAATCAAACATTAACAATAAAATCTGTAGACTTTGACAGAGATAATGGTAGTATATGGAATTGTTCGTTTCAAGAACATTATGATTCTTACACACTTAAAATTACAAGTAAGTATTAAATTTTTTTATATCGCAAATGCTCAACTAATAAATTCAGTTAACTCGTTTGAGGAATTATTTAAACGGGTAACTCTTATGGTGTGTTAATGTCATATTACTACAAAACACTTGCATTCTTGGTAGTATCATACATACTGTCTATCCTAGTCCGTATATCCACTTTTGTTATGTGATGGATGAGTTCTACGTTTTCAAAATAAAGGCTTTATGCTAGTGTGATAGCTTAAATTACAGTGAAATAAAGTAATTATGCTATGGTTCACGCTGTTCACTTTGTGCAATCAAAATTTTCCCACATATATCAAATAGCTGTTTAGTCACACTTCACTGTTTTTGTGAGATTTGCTTCATTTGCCCACGTTCACCAAGTTGAAGAGTGGGGGCCGTGGACCCAAAAAGGTTGGGGCCCTTCCCGGGATCTTTTTTTGTATTGCCCATTGTAGGTCCCCAGCGAAAGTTTTGAACCATTTTATAATTGAGTTAACCTTTAAGATCACTACTTAGGTACATTTTTTTGAAATTTTGTATTTTCTTGTTGGAGATAGGAAATATAGACCGCCCTGCTTACTTCAATATTTTGTTAATGAAATTCAACGCGGATTTTACGGAACTTTTGCTTGAATGATCAAATCTATTGGTTTTCACCTATCCTCTTCAAAAGTTGTCTGCGAATGAGAGAACAGGGCATTGATAAATACAGCGAATTGAATCAGTGTATGTTGACTGTAAACTAAAACAAAGTTATTTTTTCAGCAACACCCCCAACTCTCTATGGATCAACAAAAACAGATAGAACAGATAACATTGGAGCTAATGTGACTTTCAGTGTAGAATATTTGGACGACAGGTCTCTAAACGTTTCATGGTATCATGAGAATCGGCAATTAATAAATTCTAGCAGAGTAACTATAACAGAGTCAACAGAAATTCTGGTAAACGCGTCTGGTATAAAAACTATATTAACTATAACATCAATTAATATAACTGATCAAGGAAATTATACCTGTCAAGTATGTAACCAATATGGATGTTCTCGTGAAACATTTCAATTGCTATTAGCTGAAAATGTTACACCAACAGTTTACGAAGGTATGTGTTCTAATTATGTATATCTGTATAATTGCAATCCGTTGAGTGATATTGGATATTGTCATTTAAAAAGCTTGTTTAGCGGCTGAAATAAATTAATTCATCATCCTTACAACTTTTCAGAAAGACCAAATATCTAAATCTGAAATTGTATACTCCAAATTAGAGAAAAAAGGCATCATTATCATCAAGCTTTACTATCTGTTATATTTCATGTTTTTTTTATGTCATAATCGTGCACTGTACTTTTATTTTAATAAAATGTAACAATATTTCAATATTAAAGATCAAGGTACCAAGAGAGGATTGGACGACACAGTAATAATCGGAGTGGCAGTGGGTGCTACAGTACTAGTAATTGGTCTGGTGGTTGTCATCTTTTTCGTTACAATCAGAAGACGAAATTCAGGTAAAAGCATGATATACACAAAGAAAAAAGTTAAGCACATCCCAGAAGACCATTTGAGATAGATTTGCTTTGAGATTTAATATTGGAAATGACATTGGCAGAGAGGTACTCATTTTTGACATTTTTAACACATGAAAAAGTATGGAGCTACAGAATTTACAGATAGAGGTAAGAGTTACAATTTGAACATGAAATGTTCATTATCATTTTCATTTTGACCTTAAAAGTTCAAAACATCAATAACGTGTGTAACCTCCGCGTGCTTGAATGACACAATGTACCCTGTTTCTCATGTTTCCAGTGAATCGTCGAACCTCTTCTAATGTTAATTGTCGCCATTCTTGATGCAGTGCTGCTGCCAGTTGCCGAAGAGTTTGAACAGGAGGTTCACGTGCTAGTACTCGTCGCCCAATGAAATCCCAAACATGTTCTATTGGATTTAAATCACTCATAGCAGGCCATGGTAAAGTTGTAATTGCACTGGTCCTCATAAAATCGTTGACTGCTCGTGAACGATGTGGTCTAGCATTATCGTCCATGAATTGTGGTCGACTCGCAAGTGTGTGGTTATCAAAATGAGGAACCACAATCGGTTGCAACACGTCACGGATGTACTGTTGTCCCGTCAAGTTACCCCTGATGGTGACCAAATCCAACTTGCAGTCATGGGAGATACATATCATAACGGACCCCCCACCATATGGAACTGTTGGTCTGATTGTTCTAGGAGTGTAGGCTGTGTTGCGGTGCCTCCACACTCTAGTTCTGCCATCTGTTACATGGAGCAGGAAACGACTTTCATCTGAACACCAATGAACACGTCTCCAAGACCTCTTATTCCAGTTCTGACGAGCAATACACCAGGCTAAACGTGCTGTCTTGTGGCGATCTGTCAACAAAGGGCGTTTAATTACCCTCCTGGCTTTCATTCCTGTGCTTCTCAACCGATTTCTGAGCGTTCTTAGACTGAAACGACGATTTGGCAGCCATAGGCTTTTCAGACGAGTACTCGTTGCAAAGGGTTCCCGACGAACAAGGCGCTGAAGGTCCCTGTCTTCTCTCTGTGAGGTCACTTGGGGTCTTCCTGATCTGGGTCGATCCTTCACAGCGCCAGTTTGAAGATGTTTATTGACCAGACGACTAATAACAGTGTGATTATAACCCAGATTCCGTCCAATTGCACTGTAAGACATTCCTGCATTGTGCATACCGATTATTTGCCATCTTGTGGCATCAGATAAGCGTCTACGTGCCATATGTCCCTTTGTGTGAGTAAAGATCGATTTTGAATGAGACAATTAAACCAATAGAAGTGACAAAAGATACTGCATTTTGAGAAACACAAGGGTAGCAAACTGCACGTGCGGTTCATGTTCTCCACGAGATGTTTTGTCATGATTTGTTCACTCCACTTTATTAAAGGCACATTTTACTTTTCAAAAATCCCATATTTATTAAATTATTAAAACTTGGTGCAAAACTATCATGATTTGTTTAAGGACGTGCTTAACTTTTTTCCTTGTGTATATATTGAAATAGTGCATCTTCTTCCTGATATACAAGGAATATTATTTACAGTTTTTCAATTTCAATGCATTTTCAAAAGACAAGAGCATAACATTTCCCGTGTGAAATACCCTCTTCATGATATAATAAAGGGTTGTATTTAATCTTACCGGGAAGTAAAATATAAAATAAACGCGATTTTATCTCGTTTCAGGTCAACCATTCAGTACAAGGTAATTTTCTCAACAAAGTTTAATTTTCTTTAATACAGGTCAATTGACAAGCTCTAGTGATATATTCAATTCACAAGAAGGAAGCTGGCACAAAATTGCTATGTCTGACAACCTCCATTCCCATTTTTTACGCTAGAGTTGTGGCGGCGCCTGTGAGGGAATGGGTGCAAGGAGGGGTGGGGGAAGGGGGGGGGGGGATGGCGGTGTGCAAGTTGCTGGTATTTACACCCCCAATTTATTTCTAACTAATCTGAAATTATATTTATATACGTATTTCACCCGTCAACAATTACTCGTAAACACTCCAGAAGGCACAATTCTTGACTGATTTTGACGAAACTTGGCGATAGTGTTCGTTATCACCCAATGATTTATCCTATTAAAAATAAAAAAAAATAAACTAGTTCTTGAAAGCGATTTCAATTTTTAGCTCGTAAACACTTAAAGGCACGATCCTTGCTAGATTTTGACCTAACTTTGTAATATTATTCAGTATCGCTCCAAAAAGTTCAAAAGAAGTGTATGACTGAAAGTAGAATATTATATACTGGTAATTGTTACTGCCAAAAATTCTTATTCAAAATAAAAGCTTCCAGTGGGCGTATATTAGGTTGCCATATCTTCTTATAGATGCTACCACCTATGAAATGTTTCTTTTGGTAGTTGTTACCTCCCTTGAGCAGTTATTTTGTTTCTCGTGCTGGATATTACCCTTCTGAAACTGTTATTATGGTTCTCGTGATAAATAATACCTTCTATAAACTGTTATTTTGCTTCTCGTTATATACACTACCTTCCTTGAACTGTTATTAATGTTCTCGTGATAGATGTTACCTTCCTTGAAATATAATTTTGTTTCTCGTGATAGATTTTACCTTCATTGAACTGTTATATTGTTTGTCGTGATATATGTTACCTTTCTGTGACTATTATTGTGCTTCTCGTTATAAATACTACTTTCCTTGAACTGTTATTAATGTTCTCGTGATAGATGTTACCTTCCTTGAAATATAATTTTGTTTCTCGTGATAGATTTTGCCTTCATTTGATCAATATAGCATCAATTTACACCATTCCGATTTTCAATCTGTGGTTCCTGCAATTCCACTAAACAAAGTGTATGATGACGTTACTCATTGCGAATAACTTGATGTGATTAAGCATATTTTGCAATTATCGGCGTCATCAAACACTTATTTTTAGTAGAATAGAACGAACCACAGTATCCCCGATACAAATAAAACTGTTGAAAACCTCTTTACAACCCCTTTTACTGAAATGACTGAAATGACCCAGATGCATAAAAAAATTGTAACACTGATGGAATATGTATCATGATCTGCCTTTGAAAATCTATGCCTATCCAAAAACTAATCTGGAATTATTTAAATCCCCTAATTAAATTAGAACGATTTTTGACAATTATGGTTGTTGGTGAAAGTCTATTAAACAGTGTGATTTATCTAAATAATTCTCCAATTCGTGTATAAAACATGAAAAGTTTAGCTAAAGTCACCAACCTGAGGTAACTTTACCACAGCTTTCATTTTATATATTTGAAAGTAAATTCTAAGCATGACTTTTGTAAGGTTTCAGTAGGCATACTTCAAGTTCGACACCAACTTTAGTCAAAGTATAAGTACGAGTATGGCCCTAAGAAATATTATTTTTATTGAACGTGCAGAACTCACTATCTATCGAACTGTAATCTTGAGTATTTTTAATTACTCGGATATTAAACACAGATATCCAGCTTATTTTATACACGGTATCTTCACAATGTTAAATCCATATTGGAAATTTTCCTTTTAGAGCAATATTATTAAGCAAATAACCTCTTTGAATATTTGTTTATGTATGTTTCGAATGTAATATAAATGTCTAATCCAATATTTGTCAAGGAAAGATCACATCTATAACTTATTTTTTCTCTTGTTTTTCAGTGACAAAGAAAGGGACACTCACAATACAGGTACAGGTACGTAATTTTCATAAAATCCCCATAATTCGAAATATCATTTATTGTTCTAGGCATGCGTGAAGTCCCCTTCAATGTTGGCTGAAAAACTGAGCTTTTTTTAACTTATAACCGCATCAATTTTGAAGGAATGAAAGACCGATGATGGTTCATCTACATTTTAATTTACATTGGAAAAGTTTTTTTAGATTTGGATTGTTATTCTACTAGACCATAGTTTAAATTTAAATGAGCTCCTTTATTATCGTGTTTTCGAACTCAACATTGGACGCTATCTGTCCGTAACATATACGTTTACTGTGCTTCGATACTGGCCTGACTTTATGTTAGTTTTTATGTGTCCACACTACTTTCGTACCGGTAAAATTCATATATATTAAAAAGAAATCGCCTTCAACATCAATTTAGATAACATATATTGAATGATTTTTACATATATGTTTGTATATTAAATTCTTTTCAGATCCTCCAAAACCAGTTGTTATAGAAAACGAGGTATACGTCAGTCAGTCGGATTTTGTACAATGGGGGCGCAGTCCACCCCCCACCCCTCCTGTACCCACACTGACGCACTGAGTACAGTATACTATAAACATAAATGAAGCGCTGCAGAGATTTATTTTAATTTTACTTCAGAAGAAATGGAAATCATAGAAAACAACGTTTACGTCAGTTCAGATACGATATTTTCAGGATCACTAAACCAACAACAGCAAGGTATTAATACATTTGAAACATTTTAAGACTGGATTGGAACGCACGTTTATGAACGTAATGGTAATTTTTAACCTCGTTCAACCTTCTGATATAAGACATAAAATGTTGAAACAGTTGCCTTTCTCACCGTGTTCTCCAAACTCTTGCAACCAGCAACCAAATAGTTAACTGAAGCTTAATGTTGTTGAGGTTGCATTGGGCTGTGACTCACCTTCTGGCGTTTGGAGAGTGGTGTTGTGAGTCATATGGTGTTACTACAACATTTATAAAAACGCGGATGACAAGGCAATAAGTATATACACGGTCTGAAGGAAACTGATGAATCTCTTGTCTTTCTATTTTTCCGTTTCATTTGTCGTACTTGCCCATCCAGTACAAAATGAAAGATGCAGCTATACACGCAACCTCTTAACTCCAGACAGCGTTTTATTTAAGTAATTCCCTCCAAAATTGACAATATTTTCCACCATTATAACTTTTAATTGCTCCCCTGTACCCTACGAGCGCGAGTACAGTATACTATAACACTAATTATAAATGAAAAGCTGCAAAGCTAAATTTTAATTTTACTTCAGAAGAAATGGAAATCATAGAAAACGACGTTTACGTCAGTTCAGATACGATATTTTCAGGATCGCCAAACCAACAACAGCAAGGTATTAATACATTTGAAACATTTTAAGACTGGATTGGAACGTACGTTTATGAACGTAATGGTATTTTCATATTTCCATATTTCCTCCATACGAAATTATCATATTCTACGACATCTAGCTTGTAGACTAGCTGTCATACAGATGCCATGACTTAAGAATAGAATCTCTATATATAAGTCGATATATCCATTGAACTAAATAATTATTGAAACACGCTTATAAGCATGTTTCAAAATTACTAAGTTTAATGGATTAGTACTTTATTATTTTGATTTATTGGATTATAGAGAGATTCTGTCGTATACCTGGTAAGTCGACTGATGAAAAGAGACTCAATTTAACCAAGTTGTAAAATTTCATTTTTTTGTCATCTTAAGAGGTAGTATATCTTAAATATTCAGAGACTTGATTTTTTTCAGAAGAAATGGAAATCATAGAAAACGATCTTTACGTCAGTTCTGGTCAAATCATCGATGGAGAGAAACAATACTCTTCTAAACCACCAATATACAGTCAAGTTAAAAAACCACCTATATACAGCCAGGTTAAAAAACCCTCCAATATACAGCCAAGTTAAAAAGCCGACAATATACAGCCAAGTCAATATGCAGCAAAGTAAAGTAACCGGCAATGTGTAGCCATGTTAAAACACAAACACTCTTGAGCAACGGATATTTTAGTTTTGTCGACAGTTCACTAGATTCTGCCTTTCATGTAAACATCTTTGATACCTTGTGTGTATCTGTTTTGGTAATATGTTACTGTTATATTACTCAAACAATGGAGGTTCAGGCTCGTAGCTGAACTTGAATTGTAACAATCTTTCGTCCAGTTTTCAATAATATGTGAGATTTGTCTATTTTGAAATCATGTTTGGTTTTTCCATTGATGTAATCCTTGTCTGTAATAAACACATTTTGTATTTTTAAGTTTGTTTTAGCTTTATTTCAAACTCGTGACGACTATCTCATAAGAGACCGTGTAAATTGGCGAACACTAACCTTATCAATTGAATATAAATTGCCTAGTACCTCCCGTGTATGCAATATGTTACAACTTAGCTATTTGAAATCATTTGGTGTTTTTCTTGAGAGTGGTACAAATTTCTCACCCGTTTATTATTTTCAACGATTCCCATTGCTTTGATGATGTTGAGACCAATTGAAAATCAGTTTCCATACGATGTACATTGAACTAACATAAAATTTTGCATCTGATGATTGAAATTGTTAATGTCACTATGGACTGTACCATTACAGCACTGTTTTAAATCAGACTTGTTATATATTTTTCTACAACATCCGAAATGGCATATGTCTGATATGACCCCTACCGCTTGAATCTATGGTATACAAAATGCTTATGGCGGCTGTCGAAAGCTTGCCAAAATTTCAGAAAATATTGAGTGCTATATTTGCATTCCTTCGTCTAATATAATTAGAGATCATGTCATAACTTAGAGGTTACTTCACTTACATAAAATTCGCCGAAATTCATTAAAGATTTCCGAAAACCATCTCCGCTTAAAGATACATAAGCTAGTTACTTTAATGAACTTTCAGATAAGCTGGGTATGTATGGGTATAGTAATTGTCTAAGATTTGGGTTTCTCTTTTGTCGAGGCTAAACTGTATCTTACTTTGTTTTTATGGTCGTTAAAGGGCAAGACCAAAATGTTAAAAACAGATTAAATGAAATATCAATACACAAAAGTTTGTGAAAGGGGGTCATTGTTGTGAATTCGAAGATCTGACTGCACTCAAAAACTCAAAAGGGAAATATTCGCTTCATCGGAAAGCCGACACTCGAGCAAATTCTTTCTGAATTGAACTGTGCTTTCTTGTAGAAGAAGGCTTGTCATTTCTTTCCAAAGGCACAAATTTCACAGACAAAGTTCTTGCGTCATACTTTTCTACACCATGTAGGCTAATGAAGACGACGAAAAATGAAATGAAGAAATAAGAACAAGCAGTCACTTTAACGATCTACGACATGTTGAAACACAATAAAATTCTCGATTTATTTATGAACATTATTTCCGATGGGCACTTAAATACTTCCTAAATGAATAGTATAAAATACTGTCAGTGTAGAATTCAACTCACTATCACCATGGCTCTTAGATGGATACTTTGCATTGTTGTATGTTGGCGATTGACGGATCTTTGCAGGGCGGGAGGTAAATTGATAATTTTTAGTTCCATGGGATCTAATTCCTTTCAATTTTTTTTATTATTAGCGCGGACGGACGAGATGATATCAATTTTCTGAAATTAGTGTTTCATAGTTCTTATTTTTTAAGCCAGCCTTCATAGCGACATGTTATTATGTTTTTTACAAACTTTTTACCCTTTTTTTGCAGCAGCGTGTGACTTCAACAAGAATTTTTGTACATGGTCAAACACCAAGTCTGGAGATGTTTTTGATTGGACTCGTCACTCCGGTTCCACTTCCTCCAGTGATACAGGACCCAGAGACGACCATACCAATATGAATCTTAGTGGTATTTTTTTGTCTTAAATTTAATCACTGACATATTTACTTCCGCTTTTATATTCCCATGACACCGAAAAGGCGTTCGTACTGTGCTGTGCTGAGCTGCAAATTTGACTCAGAGTCTGTTACAATCTCTCATACAGAGTTGTCGCTCCTTACAGTAATATTGTGGCGGCATAAAAACAAAGTGTGTAGTTACTTGAGTACATATTTTATGTAAGGCTCTTTTGTACCTTTAAACACTTTTTTTCCTAAGTAGCTTTTGACCTTTAGAATAATTACATTTCCAGGTTCATATATTTACATTGAGACATCCTCACCACGTAAAACTGGTGACAGGGCCATCTTAAAAAGTGAGAGATTTTTAAGTCCAAGAGGAAGTACATGTTTTACATTTTGGTACCACATGTATGGCCTTGCAATAGGGTCACTGACTGTCTCGTTAGATATAGAAGGGTTACAGAAGTTTAAACTTTGGTTCCTATCGGGAAACCAAGGAAATTCTTGGAAAAAGGGACAGATTCTTCTTCCAGTATTGCCAACGGAGCATTTTTATGTGAGTTTCAGATAGTTTATGAAATTTATACAGTTGCTTGCTTAAAGGGAATGCTATCTGACTTATGATAAACAATAAGTTTAAATTCTCTAAGGTGGCTAATACGAGTATCATAATCATCATGATATGGTCTTATCTGGTGTCATGACTATACAATATATCAGAAACATGTTTTCTCTCTTAAATTATTATTGAAAAACGTGTAAATTTTGTTCTGACTAATTAGTTTTGTGAACAAGTACTTAGTTATGTTCATTCTAAGAGATAGTTTTCCTTTTAATTTAGGCAATTCATTCTTTCGGTTCATATGGTATGGGTATGGGAAAGCTAGAGGTGAACTTTTAGTGAGAGAGGTTATATTTTGTAGAATTTGTGATAAGAAGACGATTGAGTGTAAACGATAAATTTTGCCATTCTTGTTTCAGTATTTAGTTGCTTTTATAGTTGTAATTAGATTTTCTCGATTATATTTTGTTTCAATGTTTACATTTCTATGATTTACATTATATTTGCATCACTCGACGCCAATTTTATCTAATGGTCTTCCAGATTTTAATAGAAGGTGTTCGTGGTGGCAGCTACACTGGAGATATAGCTGTTGATGATTTTGTTGCTAAAGATGTTGAATCATGTGTTAAAATTCCAAGCACAGGTTAGTGGCCAATGCTTTGTAAAAAATGCTTTCTTTGATACCTCTCAAAAGTTAAAATTTTTCGGCAAAGCCTTTAAAACAAAATCCAGTTCCTTTTTAGAGGAAGTATGATCTATGGAAGTTAACGGTTACATCACAGTCTGTCTGAGAGATATTTTCTGAACTAAAACCACAGGAAAGAAAAAAGATAAAAAGAATCATTCATATGAGACTAGAAAAACAACTTACGTTATCTAGGATCTGTTATCAAGATTGCAAGACTTTGGTACAGGCAGATGCAGGACACAATAATTTTATTAGTTTCGTATGGGACAACTCCCCCAGGTTAGAATTTGGTAAAATTCATCGCAATGAAAAGTTACATGATAATAAAGTGAACCACGGTCAAGATTTTAACGACGATGATCTGTTTATTATTTATGTTTCTTTCAGCGGCCTCAAATTCTGAATGGTTCGCTGATGTGAGACTCGTCAACGGATCAAATTCAAGAGAAGGAAGAGTTGAAATTTATTACAGAGGTGAATGGGGAACTGTATGTGATGATAATTGGGGACAACTCGAAGCCAATGTTGTTTGTCGACAATTAGGATATATCATGTAAGTGTTTATTCCTAGCGCCCTTGAGCTTGACAGTGTGTGTCAACTTGTTGTACAGAACATATTATAGCACAAGTAGAAACTTTTAATAACTGACTGGATAAAATCAGAAGACAACATGCACCTTGTTATTTTGTAAGCGGTCGTGAATAAGTACCTATTACGAAACACAATTTTGTTTAGTCCGAATAATTTACTTCGAAGATACCCCGTCATACGACTTTGATCACGATGATTATAAGCTAAGTTTTTACACCCTACAGTTTAATTATACTTTGATGTAACCGTGAATAATTTTCAAGGATGAGTCCTCTATGGAATTACTAATTTCTTCATCACATTAGAAGGATGTCAATGTCTCTACCATGCACGCGATTTATTTTTCTTCTAGGTCGACGACGAAAGCCATAGCAAAACAGAAGGCTTTTTATGGACGAGGTTCTGGAAAAATATGGTTGGATGAAATGCATTGTGTTGGTACTGAGCCTCTCCTAGGTAGATGTGAAAGCCCAGCCTTTGGATCACATGATTGTAATCATGGAGAAGATGCTGGAGTGATCTGTGAAGGTACTTGTTAGCACTAGTTGGCCATTGTTTCCCTTAATCTAAATGCAAAAATATAAACAATGTATATTTTACATTAACTTGTGACAAAAAGTAAACGTAACGTAACGTAACGTAAACGTAGGTTTCTGGCAAACAATTTAATTTCTCATATTGTCTGTCCTTACAATGTTTTCCAATTTTTTTTATTAATATAAGGTGTGTTCTTTTTTATTGCTGGTCAGAGGCGGATTAACCTATAGGCAAACTAGGCAGCTGCCTTTCGGCCCATGACCAATTTTGTAACAGTAAAAATTACTAAACAATTACTTAATTTCCGCAGGCCCATCAAAAATTGTCCTACTAAGAGCGTGATGTGTGAAAATAGACTAAATTGTTTGAGCCTAATGGTGATGATATCGTGCATACGATTGATGCTGCTGAGCTGATTAAATCTGTTCCCGAAAAGAAAGATTGCAAACTTCCAGCCATAAAATTGTAATCACACCATGCCCTCTCCCTAAAATGAGAAATTAGTCCCTCTACCGTTCGTTTGCCTACGGCCCGACAAGTCCAAAATCCGCTACTGTTGCTGGTTCACTATTATGTATTTCAATACAATTATTTGAGTTTTTTTTTAATTTCAAACAAAAATTATTCAAAAAGCAATTTAAAGGAAATGATAATGTTTCAATCCGGGATCGTCAATCCTAGACTGAACATAGTTTTTGTTTCTTTTATAGATTTGTCAAAACATGAGATTGTTATCACCCTTACACCATTACAAATAAATCCAGTACTAGAAGGAGATAGCATGGTACCAGTACTGTGTTCTGCCAACTGCACTACAACTTGTCCGGTAGCATGGTATAAAGAACCTCTAGATGTGGCCAATATCATTAATAATTCGAATACTCTTCAATTGAGAAGCGTCAGTCGGAGTCAAGGTGGAAACTACACGTGTAAAGTTCAGAATAAAACTCAAACCTTCCATCTTTCTGTCATTTGTAAGTATATTCGACGCTTTTATATATGAATGCTGTCCATGTAAACTTATCATACATCTGTTTTCTTGTCCTTTGATAAGAAACTTTTAAATTTGTTCTATAGTCAGATGAGATATTATTGTTCCAACACAAAAGCGTATGCTCAGAAATCCAATTAATGATACACTGTCTAGGTTGAAATAAGATAAGAAATATGTTAATACTGTCAAATACTCAGAAATCCATTTGAATATGATACACTGTCCAGGTTGGAATACGATTAGAAATATGTTAAGACTGTTAAATACTCAGAAATCAAATTGAATATCCGAAACCGGTGTACACCTTGAACGCCTGGAGATCAACTTATCAGACTACCTTCTATCTATTCAGCACCCACATTGTTTACTTATAGATGGACCAGATGTGGTTAAGATTAACCCATCAAGTACTGATAGAGAAGTTATAGAAGGTGATGCTATGGATGTTATAACCTGTTCAGCTGACTGTTATCCACCATGTAATATAAACTGGTATAAAGGATCTGTTCTAGATAATAATTTAATATCTACTAATAATGGTGTTTTAAATCTCACTAATATCAACAGAAAACATGGTGGAATTTATACATGTTTAGTAAACAATGTTGATAATAATAATAAACAACACAGTCAACAAATCAACATCACTGTCAACTGTAAGTATAAAAGAGTTTCTGTATGGTTTTCTCCCCATCTCCATTAGTCTATTGGTGAGTTTGCTTGGTCGACCAGCCATAGTTGTTTGTAACTGCCAGATGAATTTTGAAGAGTTTTTGTTATCATCACCCAAAGGATGGACCATGAATAAGAGTGAAAATTGTAAGTGAAAGATTAGCCCCATTCTGTGAAATATGTTTAAGGGACAATCCTTGACGACTTGGACGATACTTTATGGTCGACATATCAGAGGAAGGTAGCTTACCTATATTCAAATACTCGTTGTATTAGAATCCGAACTGTTATGTTAAATTTTAGATGGACCAGATATGGTTAAGATTAACCCACCAAGTACTAATAGAGAAGTTATAGAAGGTAATGATATAGATGTTATAACCTGTTCAGCTGACTGTTATCCACCATGTAATATAAACTGGTATAAAGGATCTGTTCTAGATAATAATTTAATATCTACTAATAATGGTGTTTTAAATCTCACTAATATCAACAGAAAACATGCTGGAATTTATACATGTTTAGTAAACAATGTTGATAATAATAATAAACAACACAGTCAACAAATCAACATTACTGTCAACTGTAAGTAAATGAAAAAGTAACTTTTAATGATATTTTTGTCAACAATTTTAGTAAGAAAAAGCCCACGCAAAAGTTAGCTTCGATAAATACTTAAAACAACATAGTGGACATCATCTTTACCCTTTTTTAGAAATGTAAGACATCTTTTCGAAGTACAGAAAAATAACGGATCAACATTAAGATCATCTGTAAACTGTTGAATGGCTACAGAGAACTAAAATAAACATCTTCGAAATCTAAACAGAAATTGTGTTAATGGTCCTGGCTTTCAAGACAAAAATACAATTTTACAATCTCCTATGAAATGAAGAAAAACGATATAAATATGAATAAAAAAAAATAAACTTATGTTTGGAAAATGATATTAAAGGGGTCGTGGACACCGGATTCATTTGTCAAACAAATAATCCACAAACATTACCAAGAACAACTGCTAGTTTTCAGAAAAGTTTCATCTATTGTAGATGGACCAGATATGGTTAAGATTAACCCACCAAGTACTAATAGAGTAGTTATAGAAGGTGATGCTATGGATGTTATAACCTGTTCAGCTGACTTTATCCACCA